TGGGTTTTGTTTGATTGATTCTGATAAGCAAAGAAAAAAAAATCACCGTAGCAAAGGTCTCTAGGATCTGCATGAAGTTGTGTGGAGGATAACACCAGGGATACTGATGTGCCCTAAAAAGCTGTCAGTAAATAACAGAAAACAAAGTCATGTTTGTTTGAGCTTTCAGCTCACAATTGCTCTGAGTTTTTGGTCTTCCTGCTGTAAACTGAAACACTTGTGCAGGCTTCCTACTTCATTCCCCCCTGCCCTTTCCAAAGTTTGCATCTCTTTTTCAGTCACACTGTTACTATCAGATGTGGTGCTAGTGTCATTTTGCAGATTTTCGGTGTGCCTTCAGCAGAGGGGCAACGAGATCTTTATCTGCAGCAGTGATATTTTTCATTTTGAATATGGATGTCCCAGAACTGCGAGTTCTCCTGTATAAATACACTAACTCCTGGATTTGCTAGAAAGATGATCAATATAACAAATACCCAGTAAATGAGTTCTTAGTTGTTATTGTTGCTCCTTTGTCCCCATAACGTGTTGAGCTGGGGATGTATTCTAGATACAATTCCTATTATTTCTAACTGATGGCAACACCCCAAGGATGTTTACTGAAGCAGGAGACTGAGCAGGGTTTTCTCATAATTGTAAACAAAGTATTTAAAACAATGTAATCCAACTATTAGCCTGTTCCCAGTTCCCATTTTGAGCAGTCGAGTCTACATGACAAACTGATGAGCTCTACATGTTTGCCAGGAAATCCAGGTTAAACCCAGTCCCCTGAACTCAGGCCTCTGCATCCTGGCTCTCATCCTGTTTTTAGAAGAACTGGGGGTGTTGCAGAGGGGAAGTCGTGTGTTTTCTCTCTTGGGAAATAGATCTGTTTGCTGTCACTGGCTGGTCACTGCTGGTTTCTGGGCAAGCTTCAAAAGGGGAGAACTGCCAGGAAAGAGGGGGAGAGTGAGCAACCCAAGAGCACTGCATACGGATAGGATGAGGTGCAGTTGCTCCTATGTACTCATTTTTTATTTTGCAGCTGCAAGGGAAAGGAAGGACAAAAAAACAATACACAGGGTGATAGCTGTGGATGTATCTGGCTTTTCACAGGCATTCCCGTCACCTTTGCATGGCAAGGGATGTTACGAATTGCCATATCCTGCATGAACTGCCTGCTGTTTCTTGAACTATACCCCTCAAACATGTTGCTGACCAAGTAAATGGTCACAGTTCGTATTAATCACACGCCACAGTCCTGTTCAGCTGCTCACAGGAGCGAATGTCTTCCTCATGCTCCCTGCATGTGAGGCATACATCTCCAAGCGAGTGGTTGAGTTCATACGGTTCAGGCCCACCCACGACCGTGTGTTATGAGCGGTAGAGGAGGAGCTGAAAGCGGCTCAGTAGTTAGGGCTTTCCCCGGGGTTGTCAGCAGGCAGCCTGTGAAGCTGTGAAGCCTCAACAAAAGGGGGTATCTGCAAGCTTGGTCATCTCTGTAGGAGAAACTATTGACTGGACCTATTCTTAAAGGCTTGCTGCAGTAGATATGCTGTAGCAAATGTAGTCACCATCCTGTGGTGCAAAATTGAGCTCTAGATCAGCCCAAGGCAGGGAGAGTGCCTGAGGTTCAGTGTTTCCATGCTCCACAGTGTTTTCCAGTGAAAAGGGCCTAAATTCTGGCCCCTTTGATATGCTGATCTCCTGGATTTTGCCAGTAATT